GTTCCAGAAACACTGTTGGTACGTTACAGAAAACATTTCATAACGTTGGCGGGACGTTGTAAGAACAGTTTTGGGACGTCACGGCCACGTTACAGAAACGTTGTGATGACATTCAAATGCATGGTCGGATGACGTTGTCACGCCGTTGTCTGGAGTCTACAAAATTACGTTGTCACAACGATAAATCGGGACGTTGCACAGTGGGGATTTTTCCGATCTAGCGCCTATTAATTCAAAAAATATTTTTTGGATTTTTGTTTATTTTTTGTGTCAGTAGGGCTAAGAAATGTCTGAATTTTTCATATATGGCATTGTTTTATCTGTATGTCCACAGCAAAACTAGGAAAAATGCGCCCAAAGTTCACACTCATGCGTGATTACTCAATGGGCTCAGCAAGGCCCGAAAGTATAGCTCAATTTCATTGTCCTGTCCTGTTGGTTTTAATCTTGCGAGGTCTTAAAGTTGCATATCGTCTGAAAGGCACTTTTATTAGGAATGGAATGGCAAACAGAAAGTATGCCACAACCTTACTAAGGTCACAAAAATGCCCTTTACAAAAAACCCTTACAGACACCATATTTAAGGAATGGTATTCTAAATAAATGTAGGAAATCAACAATGTTCTCCACACTTTTCCACTCCGAAATATATCCCATCGAATTCGCCACTTTCTTCTGCACAAGACAATGCCTAGTTTGGCTGCCGAAACTTGCCTGAACACGGAATATTCACATTAGAGTATCTTAACACCCCACTCGAGGAGCGCTAGGGCAAACAGCACGATATAGGTATGTTCCGGACATAGGCGAATAATTTTACTTCGTGATTTATATGATGCATATTTTCTGAGACACATTCATTAGGAATAGGATGACAAGCGTAAATTATACATACCGTAACCTTATTAACCATCGCACTTGTGGGGAGGGGGAGGGGGAAGGGGTCGGATAAAACCCCATGGTTTTCCGCAAATTACTCGCGCAAAAAGCGGCCGATCGCGCCGAAACTTTCGGTACCCTCGAGATCATCAATTTTACATCTAACCTAAAAATTTCATGACTCTGACCCAACTGACCTTTGACCTGTGGCATATTTCTCGAGACCATGTTTGGCCGGAATCGCGATTCGGCGTATGCCAGCTCACATTATCCGCGGTTTCCAGTCTTTTTGTGGTTTTAAACGTTCAAATATGTGAAATGATGTTGGTGCCATGCATAATGTTGGGAGTCAAGGTCACGTGAAGGTCAAGTCAAGGTCATTGACCTTTTGATGACCTTGGTTCACTTTTTCGAGTTTTACTTGTTTCTAGGGTAGTTTTTGGTGCTGATTTCGATTTTAGCAGCCATTTGAATATTTACGAAGTAGTTCTAGTGCCTTCGTTCCATGTTACGAAGCTATCAGTAGTAGGTGACACTTCTATGGATGGCCGGCAGGACGCCTACTAATTGATCTAACGTGACCTGACCCGACCTGGCCTAAATGCATAAAGACATCGTCTGTGATCAAAACTAACATGAAATTCGTGATCAGCACCCCAAAATACCCCGTAACACCCTAACTTTGCGAAGTTTCAAGAGGTCTCGATTTCCCAACTTTAGTTGGGTCATTAAACTGACTTGGAAAGTCAGCTTATGACCTTGGACTTTGAAATTAGATATATTCGGCCTAATTTCGTCATAGGCAGCACGCTTGACTTTTCCGCGAAGCTCTAGCTTGATCAGGGGCCAAACGGCTGAGCGGGGGGTCCAATTGAACCCCCTATACTATGTTGATTATACACATTTACAGGTAAAATTCTCACCAGGACACACCAGCCAACATCTGTGCACAATCTCGCTACAATTCTACCTATGGTTTGCCCTCTACGAATAAATAGGTGCTAGATCGGAAAAATCCCCACTGTGCGTTGTGGTAACCATTTGACAACGTTTAAACGACGTTGAAACAACGGCAAATTGTTAGCTGGGTTAGGATTGCCCGTAAGCCGAGCTCGCCCGTAGCCGGGTGCGGTGAGTGCTTGGGGGCTGCTCGGCCTATCCTTTGGTCAGGCTCAGCCCCGGCAACTCACCAGGGCCGGGCCCAGTTCATATAGAAAGGCCAGTCGGCAAGTGTCACTTTGCCAAAGTGCCACTTATCAAAGGGACACTTTGGGAAACGTTGGTGCAGGTGTGTAAGAGTGGCTATATGAATCCATTGTGGGGTCGCCCTTTCCAATAAGTGTCACGTAACAGCAATGGGACCAGGGACTCTATATGAACTGGACCCAGGGTGCTCGCCAAGAAGACCAATGTCTCCATCCTATGATCCTTCCGGCTCTGAAATGGTCTTGTCAGACCGAAAGGGCATAACCCAACAAAACAAACCAAACTCCTTAGCTGGCTGCGTGGTGTAGTCGTTAGCGCACTAACCTCGCGTTCAAATGACACGGGGTTCGAATCCCATCGCCGGCTGATGCTTTTGGCGTGTTGTCCCAGTAAACATGCCGACGTCGGCGACTGGGGGGCTCGAATCCCGCCACCGGTTGATATTTTTGGCGCGTTGTCCCAATAAACATGCCGACGTCGGCCCCGTCGGTCCAACGACAAACGATCTCGTCAACCTCGGCAAACGATCTCGGCCCGACGTCGGCTGGACTTCGGCTGGACGTCGGAACATGCGGGCATATCCGACGTCCAGCCGATGTCGGGCCGAGGTTGAACCCGCGACGTTGGGCCGACGTCGGCATGTTTACTGGGTAGGGGGAGACATTGGTCTGGGCAGGCACCCTAGTGAGTCGCCGGGGCTGAGCCCGTCCAGAGGACAGGCCACCCAGCCCCAAGGCACTCACTGCACCCGGCTACGGGGTGCGCTCCCTCGGGAGCAGCGGTGCCGCTCCAAGGGAGCAGCCCGCACAGAAGCGGATCCAGGAAAACTCCAAGGGGAGGGTCATGAATCGAAGTGGTGCCCCTACCTATACCCAAAATTAAAAACTCAACGGATTTCGTCCACTTCATTTTGGTGGTGCCCCCATTTTCAGTTTTTTATTTTTATTTTTTTATTTTTAGTCAGTATCTTACCTCTTAGCCACAACCACATTTACCAATTGTAAGCAAGTATATATGAATGTGTTATGCGTATATATGTTGTGGTCGCTGAGCAATGAGTACTTACCAGGAACGTTATCAGGTAAGCAAATCGTTGTCAGTCCGACGAACTTGACCCTGGCGTCTAAAGGGTCTGTCCTTGACACTTCAGGCTTGTCAGGGGCACCAAAGTCCTTCCAGGGACACCACAAACCTGTCAGGGGCACCTACGGCCTTGTAGGGGCGCCACAGGCCCGCCAGGGGCACCACAGGCCTGCCAGGAAGCAGGGGCACCACAGGTCTAGCAAGTATACACGACAGGCCTGTCAGGGGCACAACGGGCCTGTTGGGCCCATGAGCACCCCTAGGGGCAGGGGCACCACAGTCCTTCCAGGGGCACCGCAGGCCTGTGAGGGGCACCAGCGGCCTAGCAGGGGCACCAGTCAACACAGGCCTGCCAGGGGCACCACAGACCTGCCAGGGGCACCAGAGGCCTGCCAGGAGCACCACCGACCTCGCAGGGGTAACTTGGGCCTGTCAGGGCCCAGGGGCACCACGGGCCTGTCGAGAGGCACTTCAGGCTTTTCAGGGGCACCATAGTCCTCTCAGGGCGCAGGGGTAGCAGGGGCACCAGAGGCCTGCCAGGGGCACTACAGGCCTAGCAAGGGCACCACTGGTCTATCAGGGGCACCACGAGCCTGTCATAGCCAGGCATCTCAGGCTTGTCAAGGCCCAGCGGCACCACAGGTCTGTGAGGGGCACCAGCGACCTAGCAGGGGCACCAGTCAACACAGGTCTGCCAGGGGCGCCACAGACCTGCCAGGGGCACCACAGACCTGCCAGGGGCACCAGAGGTCTGCCAGGGGCACCACCGGCCTCGCAGGGGCACCTTGGGCCTGTCAGGGGCACGACGGGCCTGCCGAGGGGCACTTCAGACTTTTCAGGGGCACCAGTCCTCTCCGGGCGCAGGGGCACCAGAGGCCTGCCAGGGGCACCAGCGGCCTAGCAAGGGAACCAGAGGCCTGCCAGGGGCACCAGCGGCCTAGCAAGGGCACCAGAGGCCTGCCAGGGGCACCACAGGCCTAACAAGGGCACCACGGGCCTGTCAGGGGCACCTCAGGCTTGTCAGGGCCCAGGGGCACCACAGTCCTTCCAGGGGCATTACAAGCCTGTCAGGGGCACCAGAGGCCTAGCAAGGGCACCACAGGCCTGCCATGGACACCACAGGCCTGCCAGGGGCACCACCGGCCTTGCAGGGGCGCCTCAGGCCTGTCAGGGGCACCACGTGCCTGCCGGGGACACTTCAGGCTTGTCAGGGGCGTTACAGTCCTGTCAGGGCCCAGGGGCACCAGGCCCGTGATGTCCCTGCTAGGCCTGTGGTGCCCCTGTCAGGACTGTGATACCCCTGATAGGCCGGTGGTGCCCCTGGAAGGTCTTTGGGCCCCCGGGCCTCAAGGGGGGGGGCATGACCCATGTGACCCCCCCTTGGATCCGCCCCTGAGCCCGCATGAGATAAAGTTGCCTGTCCAGGCCGGAGGGGGGTTGTGGCGTGGAGGAGAAGGATTTCAGTATCCTGAGGATAGAAGCACGGAACGGTGTGCCAACAAGCCCAATGCAACACTACCACCACAAGTCAAAGTGTGATGTCAGCTCGCGTCGCGAAATGGAAATTGGAATAGCGGGCAGCGGCGTCCGGTGAAACACTGCCTAGGGCGACGGCGAATAGGCTGCTCCCGGGCCCCTAGCTCGGCGCAAATTTCCACCTGTTGGGAGAAGATAGAATCAAATATATCAATATATGAAATGTTTCTTTTCTCGGCACCTACGGATTATGTAAATCTGCTGCTCTCTAGCGGCGAAAAGTAGATACTCTGTTTCGGTACCTCTCGCTAGATGTCACTTTCTGACTCTTTTGACATTTGTGACGCTTTTAGGCGTTTGTGAAATAGCGTAGTATTTGCGTCGGGGCGGCTGTGTTTATGGTGTAAAATAATGGAAATGTGCAGTTTTTGAATGCATTTTTGCGACTCAGTGTATTGTTTCTGTGCGAACACATGAAAAGGTCTTGATTGGTACCCCACTAGTTACAGTAATTAGTCCTTTATCTGATATCTCGCTCAAAGGTACGTGTTTTGTTGATGGTGATACCCACTTCAATTTGATCTCAGTCTTGATTGTTTAGTTTCTTTTCTGTGTTATCTTTCAGTTCGAAGTTCAAATGTCCCCATGAGCCTGATTATTTGTTTATTCAATGGATGGCTGTTTTTTCCTTGATGGGAAAAGTAATGATTTCCCCAGGTCATTTCCTCTTTTTTGCACCCTTTAAAAACTGGTCAAATAGGCAAAATACCTAACATGACAAGAAAGGGCCCTAGCTCTGTTCGCGCCCCGTTTATTTATCAGCAGGCTGCGACCATGCTGCTGCTTCTTGGCTCCTCATTGGTCGAATTCAAGTGGTCTATTCGTTGAACCAATGAGAGGCCAAGCTGCGCCAGCAATAATTTCCTTATATGGGGAAAACCGACAGCACGCTGATATAAAAACAGCGACCGAACAGGGCCCCTGTTTAAATCAAGTGTCTGTGGCCGCTGTGGCTCTTATGGTAAAAAAGGTGGGGCTTAGCTAACGGGCCAATCAGGATGGCGGCAACAGCTGTCTGTCTTATACCTGATTTTGGCTTGATAGCTAAGCCCCGCCTGATTGCCCGCGGTAGCCGCCATGGCCGCAGACACTTCAACAGGACTGACACATCCTTCCAAGCTTGTTAAGCAACATCATTTATCAATTTTAATGATAATTTTACACAAAAGATATATATATGTAACACCTAACCCCACCAATTGATCCAAGTAAGGTGAGGTTACGTTAGGTAGGATAAGGTCAATTTAGATTAGGTGTTGTTATTTCTGCTTGTGGTAGACCTGCTTTTTATGAGTCAATGATTGTTTGAACCTCCAACCTTAGTAAATGGCATGGTCAGTGGTTTCTAATCATTTTTGGATATTTGCAGAGCAGACATCACACAAAGGTTTTGCAATCATAGGAGAGGCTCTTTACCCAAAGAAACCTAACCTAACCTTCAACCTAAAGCCCTACTTTTGTACCCTCTGAAAACTGGAGTAATTGACGAAATATAAACATGAAAGAAAAGAATACCCTCTTAGTTTGAGAAGTGACGCTACACATCAGGTGTTTGATGCGAACAGGGCCCAGGTGTTTGATGCCAGGGTCACAAGGCTACTCTTCCTACCTTACACCTTACACTATCGGGAATTTTGAAAGGCAACTCGCCTGTAGGTCTCGCTCTCGTCGAGCTCGTGACTGGTGGTCATCTCTAGTCGTGAGTAGGAGTCAGGTACATCAGATTGGCCCAATGCTTGTCAAGTCTGGATTTGAAGGCATTGAGGGATGGGGCCTGGACAACTGTTGCAGGGAGGGAGTTCCAGTCGTTGAGCGCTCGAATAGTGAATAGTTGTCTTCTGGCTCGTGACTTGGCATGTGGTTTGTACAGCTTCCAGGGATGGCCACGGTTGGACCTCATGGACGCAGGCTTGACAAACTTGTCCGATTCGATATCGATCTCGTTATGCAGCAGCTGGTACATTCCAATCATGTCACCACAGCGTCTTCGGTGGAGCAGTGAAGGAAGCTTCAGGCATTTCAGTCTCTCAGTATATGGTTTGCTCCTGATGCCGGACACTAATCGAGTAGCGCGCCGCTGGACTCGCTCCACAAGCTTGATGTCTGCACAAGCTCGTTCTGTCCCATTCTTCCTGAGCCCGGTGAAGGTCAGCAGTTGTGAGCATGGGAGCTCTGATTGATTGAGTGAAGTGTCAAGTTATTCAAATTGATTGAGTGAAGTGTTAAGCTATTCAAAGAAGAAAAGTAAAAAGGTTATAGAAATCATCCATCATGAGTTCAAAAGCACCTACCACTAGGGGGCGTTACGTGTCAACTAGCAGCCAGCAGCAAGTTGGTAAGGAAGGTGCCGATAAAAAAGAAGAAGAAAGCGCCAAAACATCCCGAGACAAAACTGGAGGGCATGGACCGCAGGATGTGTCCAGTGCGAGTGATTCTAGCCAGGAAAGTGATGAAGATGTTGATCTGGGTGGAGGAAAAGTGAGTGGTTGGTCACCAAGTGGGAAAAAGAAGAAAGAAAGGTATGTGTGCAAGGGGGGACCCAAGCAATGTGGGCTGAAAATCTTGGCTAAGGATGATAGTATTATGTGTGATGCTTGTAGGCAGTGGTACCATCCTAAGTGTCAGAAGCTATCCGACAAGGAATTTAGGGCTCTGTCCGAGTTCGACTTCCTATGGGTGTGTATGGAGTGTAGACCAAACATTATACCCATCGCTGAACTGAGAAAAGAGTTCCGTGAGGGCATGGAGAACATTGAGAACAAAATTACGCAGGCACTGAGCGACGCCAAGTTCAAAAAGGAGATAGAACAAAAACTCCAAGCACTAGAAAACAACGTAATGATGCGCGTGAAAGAACAACAGGAGCGGGTTGAAAAATCGATCAAGGAACAGGTTAATGTGGTGCAGAAACTGCCAGAATACACAGCAGAACTGAAAACGAGTGCCAAAAATCTGCAGAAGATAGTTGAAAACAAGGCAGAACAGGATGCTCGAGAAAGGAACATACTGCTGCACAACATAGAAGAAAGCCAGTCTGACAATCCAGAGCAAAGAAAACATCATGACACAGAAATATTTCAAAGATTAGTGACTTCACTGACAGGCAAACAGGATGTAGAAATAGTCAACATCTACAGACTAGGGAAAAAACCTGAGAACAATGAAAATGAAGGAATGAATGCACGGAAGCGGCTGATGCTGGTGAAAGTGAAAGACAGAGAAATTGTTAATGAGTTGATCAGGAAGAGAACAAAGTTGAGAGAAGTGGGCTTCCTGAATGTTTACCTGACCAGGGACCTCTCGCCTGAAGATCGTGAAACTCAAAAAAAGTTGAGGATGGAACTGGAGCAAAAAGGAAAAACAACCCACAAAATCTTTCGAGGCAAGGTCGTCCCTCGCTAGCGCGAAGCAGAACCAAGATAGAAGGTTTTTAAAATGTATGTACACAAATGCCAATAGTCTTAAAAACAAGTTGAGTGAGTTGAGACTGCGTATTGATGAACGCAAACCAGATGTAATAGGGATTACGGAAGTGTGGACAAAAGATGAAATTGTTCTACAAGGCTATCACCCTGCCTACAGATATGACAGAGAAGAAGATCAAAAAGGAGGAGGTGTCATGCTCTTTGTTAAAAGTGACCTGGAGGTGTCAGATTGCCCAGAGCTGAGCAGTCCCAATATAGAGTCTGTTTGGTGTTATGTCAAATTGTCATCCAAAGAAAAACTGTTAGTGGGTGTCTGCTACAGGCCACCAGCCAGTTCTGTTGAGTACAATGAAGGATTAAACCATTTATTGAAGCAAACTCCTTCAACACGAACCAAGCATATATTAGTAATGGGTGATTTTAACTACCCGCAGATTGATTGGGATACTGGCTCAGTTGATGGTTCTGAGGGATCAAGTCAAGAAAGATTTTTTGATGCTGTCAATGACTTGTTCTGGTTACAATGTGTCAACTTTCCCACCCGCTTCAAAGAAGGAAATGAACCGTCCTTGCTAGATCTAGTATTTGCAAATGAAGAAAATACCATTGAAAGCATTGTGGGATCTGACCCACTGGGTAAAAGTGATCACTGTGTTATCACATGGGAATACGTCTACATTAGCAAGGGACCAAACAGAATGAACCAAGACAAACCAACCCGTAGAAACTTTAAGAAAGGTAATTATGCTCAAATGTCTGATGACCTTAGTCAAATAGACTGGTCAACTCTTGAAAACATGGGAGTAGAGCAAACTTGGAGCAAGATAAAGGATATTGTCAATATCAGCATTGAACAACATGTACCCTTGTCACATCAAAAGAACACCATACCTCGTAGTCCGTGGTGGACTAAACGGCTTGAAGCGGCTGTAAAGTTAAAGTACAGCTTGTGGAAAGAGTACAGAAGGACTAAAGCTACAGAGGACTACAAGAGATACACAGTGCAGAGAAACAAGACAACTAGTCTTATTAGACTAGCAAGGTGTCAGCACGAAACCAAGATTGCTGAACATGCAAAACAAGACCCAAGTAGTATATCAAGGTACATAAGGTCACAACAGAAATTGAAGCCAAAGGTTGGACCACTTACAACTGAAAACGGTACATTGACACAGAGTGACATGGAAGCAGCCGAAGTGTTAAACAAGTTCTTCCAAAGTGTATTTGTTGAAGAAGACGATTCTGAAGTTCCAGAATTCCCAGCTCGTGTACAGGACGAAAATATCCTGGAGCATATCGAACTAACACTACAAGAAGTTCACAGGGAATTAGAAGCCCTAGATATCAACAAGTCGGCAGGACCAGATGGCATACCCAACAGTGTAATGAAAATGTGTGCAGATCAAATGGCTGGACCACTGAAATGCCTCTTTCAGAAAACCTTGGACTTGGGCAAGCTACCAGTTGATTGGAAGGAAGCAAGGGTAACGCCGCTATTCAAGAAAGGGTCAAAAAAAGCCCCAGGAAATTATAGACCCATCAGTTTAACAAGTCAACCATGTAAAGTTTTGGAGAGAATAGTTAGAAAACGCATTGTTGAACACCTGGATGACCATGACCTGATCTCAAAACACCAGCATGGTTTTACAAAGAGAAGATCATGCCAAACCAACTTGATTGAAGCAATGGAAGAATGGACCAAAACATTGGATGACGGACATGCTTTGGACATAGCATACTTGGATTTTCAGAAAGCGTTTGATACCGTACCGCATAGAAGGCTAAAGAAGAAATTGTATGGCTATGGAATACGAGGAAGACTGTTAGACTGGATTTGTGACTTTCTGCACAACCGCCGACAACATGTGACTATAGGAAATAGTACTTCGAACTCAGTGGATATAAAAAGTGGCGTACCACAGGGTTCTGTTTTGGGTCCAACATTGTTTTTAGTTTATGTCAATGAGTTGCCAACAGAGATCAAAAGTAGCATAAAAATGTTCGCTGACGACGCCAAAGTGTATCGACCAATCCGACATGATGATGACGTAGCTGCACTGCAGGCCGACCTACAAGCTCTGTGTGCGTGGTCACTGAAATGGCTACTGAGGTTCAATGTTGCCAAGTGCAAGATAATGCATTGTGGTTTGTCAAACCAACATAACCGGTATTACATGACAGAGAATGGTTTGAATAGAGAACTTAAAGCAACTACCCTGGAGCGTGATCTTGGCGTGATAACCACAAGCTCCCTCAAAGCAACTGAACACTGTTATCAAGCAGCAAATAAAGCTTCTTCAGCATTAAGATTACTGAAAATTGCTTTTGCTAGCCTCAACATGAACAACTTTAAGCCATTGTACACATCCTATGTGCGCCCTCATCTTGACTACTGCCTGAGTGCTGTCGGACCCCATTTAATTCAAGATCTTAAAGCCTTAGAGAAAGTCCAACGGCGTGCTTCGAAACTGGTTCGTGAAATCAAACATCTTCCATACCATCAACGACTGGAAAGGCTGGAACTACCTACCATTGAAGAGAGACTCAGCAGGGGTGATTTGATAGAAGCTTACAAGATCCTAACAGGTAAACTCGCTGTCGATCCAAACCAGTTTTTCGAGAGGAACTTTGATGACAGGACAAGGGGGCACCACCTAAAGCTCGCAAAAAGAAGATGCAGCAGTCAAGCACGGGCCAAATTTTTTGCAAACAGAGTGGTTACTGCCTGGAACAGTTTACCAGAGGAAGTTGTGGCTGCAACATCTACAAACCACTTCAAAAATCTGCTGGACCGACATCGGGCTGCTGCACCCTGACCTGTCATCTTGTCCCAAACCAGTATGATGTGGGTCCTGAATAGACTGTGTCTAAACCTAACCCACTACATAAACCTAAACCTAAACCTAAACCGATTGAATGGGCCCCATATGAGGTTACCGTATTCAAGGTGGGGCCTGACAAATGCCTTGAACAAAATCGGCAGGGTGATCTCGTCCAGATTCGAGAATGACAGATCAGAGACAGAATCTGTGAAGCCTTTGATACAGCTGAGGAAGCCTGCCTCCTGAACTTCAGCTCGGGATCGATGATGACACCCAGATCTCTCTCAGCTGAGGTGGAGGCGAGGCAGACACCGTTCATAGAGTAGGAGTAACCAGAGTTCTTGGCCCCGACGTTCAAGGAAGCACACTTGCTCTGGTTGAACGCAAGCTGCCACTTCTTGGATCAGGTGGTGAGAGCATCAATGTCGAGCTGGAGCAGGGATGCATCACTGGGAGTATCAATGCTGCGGTACGACTTCGTGTCATCAGCAAAAATCTTGATGCAGGACCTCACCGCGTCGGGGATGTCGTTAATATATACAAGGAACAGAAGGGGCCCTAGTACAGAACCCTGTGGCACCCCGCTGGTGACAGGAGACCAGGTGGATTGACAACCTTGCACGACGACTCGTTGTTGCCGATTGGATAGAAATGACCTTATCCACTCAAGGAGGTGTCCAGTCACACCGTATGCTCTCAGTTTGACGAGTAGGCGTTCGTGAGGGACGGAATCGAAAGCTTTTCTGAAGTCCAGATATATGACGTCGACCGGGCTCCCGTCTTCAATCGCACGGCTCCAGTCATCCAAGACTTCCAGTAGCTGAGTCGTGCAGGATCGGTGTGGGCGAAAACCATGCTGGTGACGCGACAACAGTCCATTCGAGGTGAGGTATGCCATCAATTGGTCCCTTATCAGCGACTCCATGACCTTGCACGTCACTGCAGTTAAGCTAATTGGACGATAGTTCTCTGGTCGTCTTCTGTCTCCTTTTTTGAAGATGGGCACACCTGTGGCAAGTGTCCAGTCGTGGGGAACACATCCTTCATCTAATGACTTGCGGTAGATGGAAGCGAGAGGAGCACTGATGCTATTCCCTCAACAACAGCAATGCTTGCAATACTTTTTACACGAAACATTTCTAATTTTCACCATACCACATGCTGAGTGATGTACGGTTAGGTTATGTTAGATAAGGTTAGGTCTGGCTAGTTAAGGTTTTGTTTTTCTGCCTGTAGTGTAGGTACCTCATACCTGGCCCTGTTATACGACCACTGCCAGCAGTGGGTTTCCATGGAGACATTGACAAACTTGTATCTCCACCACTGCCACAATGCTGTCAAGTGTCAGCTCACGAAATGCGATATCAGCGGGGTAGCTGTGTCCAGTGAAACACCACCCGTTTTTTTTTTTTAGTAAATAATTGAATAAGCAATGTTGACACGATTCATTGTACTACACATACACAATGTTGACACTACAACCATTATCAATCTAGGTTGATAAATGGTTTATGACAATTGACCAATGGTATGGATTTTTATTCAATATAGAACTTTGGGTCCAAAAGGGAGATTTCACTGGAAAATGATTAAATAGCTCTTTCCCTTTCTTTTCTCTCTTTTTTTTAAATCTTTTTCATAAATCATTTCAAATAATTCAGCTTGTGAATCAATCCTAGTTCCATGAAAAGCTCACCACTTTCTTAATTCTTTTTAGAACAATATAATGTTTGTCTTTTTCAGGTTCCATAATGGCCGGATAGCCTTCACCTGCCATCACCCTAACCAACGTTCACCTCTCTGCCGCTTCTGCCGGCCTCCCTGCGGCGGGCTCCTCGGCGCCGGCGATGCCGCGCTACTCCCACAAACGGCCGGCGGCGGCCCACACTGCCAGCATCCAGTTTGACGCGGGAGGCGTGTCAGACAGGAAGCCCACCGCCGCCAAGTCTGCCGGCACACTCGGCAAGTGGGGAGTCACCAGCTTCACGTCCATCCGCTCCAGCATCGTCAATGGTGAGTGGCTCCGGGGCGGTGTTTCACGGCAGAGCGCTGCGCGCGTCGGCGCGTTGGGTTTCCATGGCAATATCAACAAACTCCACTCTGACGCTACGCTAGGACGTCATCGTAAAGCGCTAGCACCCCAGCGCCAGCACCATCAACACGCTAGCAGCATTCGCACTCAAACCTCTGTTCTCTCTGTACTTGGTTCCTCATGATCTCTGTTCCAAACGCGACCATCATAAGCTAACTGATCGCACGCAACGTCATTCGAGTGACGTCAGGGGTATGCCTCAGCTCCCAGCGCGCTGTAGCGCGCGCAGCGTCGGGCAGTGAAACAGGGCCCAGGCAGCAATGTCGCTCCGATCCCAAGCGGGTTACCCCAGGTTTTCCCCAGGTGACCGCCCAGGAAATCCCAGTCTTGCTTGGGGATTGAGACAAATTGTTGGGATCTCCCAATCGTTTCTTGATCGATCCCCTAGCGTTCCCCAACCGATCGGCTGGAACATCCCAAGCGACCCCCCAATCCTCCAATGGCGTTTCAGTACAGCAAAAGGCACGATCCCGACCGGGGTATCTCTGGCCCGCTATGGCCCCGTGTTTGTACAGTCCACCGCTAAAGTAATGTGCGATTTTACCAATCTGAACGGATGGCTTTGAGTTGACTGGCGATTTTTTCATGCGGAGTGATTGAAAAGAGGACGTCAATAGATAAAGTTGCAGCTGCAAGGGTGACCATACATGTAAGCTACATTCAAAGTTTCATTGTAGTCTGGCTAATCGTTCCTAAGCTTCAGAAGCAGAACATACCCATGACTGAAACCGCACATTACTTCTGCTGTGGACTGTACATAGTGCATTTACTAGAGCCTCTCAAAAGTTTTTTTTTTGTTTTGTTTTAAGGATTGAGCTTCCCGCAACAACTTTGTGCCACAACTTGCTGTAAGGACTGTCCTGTGGCGACTTGCCGTACTGACTCTTGCGCTGGGTCCCCGGCAGGCTCTTCCCACGATGGCAGTTCGTCAGACGCCCGGGCGGGCCGCTCACCGGCGGCCCCGCCAGCCGATCCGTTCTCGTTTGAGAGCAACACGCCCGGCGCAGCTCCCGTGAGAAAGGTGAGAACCATCTGTGGTCGCTGTTGAGAACCTTTGAGCGTGTATTGAGATGAATTTTGTGGAAGCACTGTTCATGAGGAAGTTGAGAATGATGCCTAGTCTCCGATGAGATATCTTGGTTGTATGGCAAGAGCGATATTGAGACCCCGGGTCGTAATTCCAAGCGTTTCTTTTGCGCTATGCTTGCCATGTACGATGTCAAGCTTGCTGCTCCCTTTGACAATATGCTCTCTTAACCCATGTTGTTTCAGGTGAAGAAGTTTTTCAAATCGCGCAATGCGCCCCCGGCGACTGGTCCAGCTGTCACGGACGCGCGCCGTCAGCTGCCTATGACCCGTCCGGTGCCTCAGCCGCCGGCGCCGCCCCCTGCCGCGCTCCATGACGATAAGGTGGGTGCCGAGGGTCGCGGGTTCGATTCTGGTCGCGCTCTCTGTAATGAAAAGGTGACGTCCTATCTAAAGGCATGTTCCATGGTGAATAGAACACGTCCAATCCCTCCGATCTGGTTCGTATTCGCTTTCTTCATCAGCTGTCCGTCCGTTGTCTGATGTGGAAGCGTCTCCGTAATTGTATCGTTTCTTTATTTTCACGCGTATGCATCTCACGATGGTCTCACTGTTTCCTCACGTCTTCCTGGCCGTAAACTCTGGCTTTCCTCACCCACGCCTCGCCCCTGTCTCACTTACGTATCTCGCTTTCCTCACTCTTTGTCTAACGTCTGTGTCCAGTCTTTGTGTGATACTTTGTGTTTCCACAGTTAACTTACGTGTGCTTACTCATAACCCTATTGTGTCTTTGTCGTGTCTCACGTCTGCCTCTGACATACCTCACGCCTGTCTCAGTCGTCTCTCTTGTCTGCCTGACTCGCGTCTCATGCCTGTCTCACGTGTTTTACGTCAGTCTCGTCAGTCTCACACCTGTTTCTCTCCTGTCAGGATGAGCTGGAGAGTAAGAAGTTCTTCAGTTCTCCGGCCCTGCCCCAGCCGTTGAGGGATACAACCACCAATCGAGCAAACTCTCTGAGCCCCAGGGAGCCCCCGGCAGCGCCGCAGGTCAGTTAACACGCGCAGTGGATAGTTTGCGAGAACTAAGCCCAGTGGAAGGGGGGAAGCGGCGAATGTCGCCCCCCTTAAGATCTCGGCTCCTATAGAAGCTAAAAAGAAGAAATTTGGAGGGTAGGTGGGGGCGGTGGGGAACTATTGTGTGTTAATTTCATGACCCTAGGTCAGTGTCTTCAAGCTCTCTCTCTCTCTCTCTCTCTCTCTCTCTCTCTCTCTCTCTCTCTCTCTCTCTCTCTCTCTCTCTCTCTCTCTCTCTCTCTCTCTCTCTCTCTCTCTCTCCCTCACTCTCCCCCTCTAATCCGCGACAGATTCCGGCTAGCCTTCCCAGTAATATACCACCTACCCCTGCCCTTACCCCACCCACTTCTCCACGTCTGAGGATGACTACTCGTTGTCAGCTTGAATAACATGAATGACCACTGTTTTGCTGACACCCAGAGACCTACATTCGTCATAACCGTTGCTTGGTCAGCGTTCTGAGTTGGTATTGTTTGTCGGCGTGTTTCTCATCTAGAATATCGGCTTACATTGAGCTGAACACGTGACGGCTTTGGATGTGTCAATATTTTGGTCACTTGGCAGAAGTATGTCATGACAATCGCAGGTTGAAATGTCATGTAAGTATGACATAAGGCTCGACTCATTTTCTTTTGTTACCTACGTTAACACATCCCGATAAAACTTCAACTGCTACATGTCTTGCTTGCTTGACTGTCTTTCTTGTCCTGCTACATGACTTTTTACCTTCGTAACGTGATTCATGAATCTGATTGATGAATGATGTCATATCATTTACCGTGCCTAGTATATCATACGTGCTGTTGCACAGGCTGCTTTGTCTTGCTTATTTATCTTAGGAAAAATTCGTGTCTCACGAATCTTTACAGTATTTACCAGGCGTTTCTCATATTGCGACTGTAATTCACCTAGCATGTCTCACGCCACCATGATTTACCCGTTAGTTGGTAAGAAGACATTGTTTCAAGTCCACAAACGACAAAACAGTGCAATTCAAATCTTTATATCTATATTTTTTTTTTTTGTTGGGTTAGGCCATTTCGGTCGACAAGACCATTGCAGAGCCGGAAGGATGGTAGGAATTAGGGGGAGACATTGGTCTGACATTGGACTCACCCTAGTGAGTCGCCGGGGCTGAGCCCGTCCAAAGGACAGGCCACCCAGCCCCAAGGCACTCACTGCACCCGGCTACGGGGTGCGCTCCCTCAGGAGCAGCGGTGCTGCTCCAAGGGAGCAGCCCGCATGAGATAAAGTTGCCTGTCCAGCCCGGAGGGGGGTCGCGGCGTGGAGGAGAAGGATTTCAGTATCCTGAGGATAGAAGCACGGAACGGTGTATATCTATATTTCGCAGACGTTTCAACGACAAGGCGTCTTCGTCAGTGCAACCTGTCAAGTTTCATGACTCACCATAGGTATCTGACATATTTACAACACCATAAACGGTGTGTCGTTTATGTATTTTACTTATCATGCATAGGTACTATGCCCTGCTATGACCCGCCTTACCTCCCTCCCCAGGCGCCCCGTATGCCTCCTCTGAAGCTGCGCATCTCCCGTGACAAGGACACGGGTGACCTGACGGCGGTGAGCGGGTCACCACCAGATGGCAGTGGCGGCGGCGGCGCCAGGAGGCGGCGCCCGCCCGCCGCGCCGGCGCCGCCGCAGCCGACCAAGGCAGCCAGGTGAGGATTGAGGGGAGAGAGTGGGTGAGTCGTGAGAATTGAGAGGGGAGTCATGAGGGGGGAGTAAGAATAGCGGGCTAGAGGGGTCATGGGCCAGGGTTTGGTAGGAAGAGGATGTGTTGGGAGGAGGACGGGTGAAAAAATGCAGCATGACTTTAGTTTATTGTTTATTGTTTATTAGGCATTGTCAGCCACAGGCAAAACCCAATGACGGCTGAGGTCAAAGTAAAATATAAACACGCACACGCACACACGCACACACACAAGACACACTATTTCATCACACCTGCCTACGCACATGCATATGCCTATACCCACCACAGACAAAAAGCCGCGGGATACTTTAAGACAGCAATAGCTCGTATAAAAGTGGCAAAAGGCCAAAACACTGAGATACAATAAAAAAGGAACAATAAAATGACACATGATCTGTAAAAAATGCAAAAGATAAAAGTAATGCAAACAATAGCAGCCTACGTGACTACGTCATACAAGTACCAAGGCCTCGAGCGTAGGCACGGATGCGCGCGGTGCAGTGGGGACTAGGCTGAAAGAAATCCTCGTCTGGATATTTGTTCAGGAACTCATTCACTAGTTTCGGGACTCGTACGCCGAGGCCGTTCTTCACCGTATCAACCCGTCCAAAAGGTTCGTTGAACAAGCCCGTCTGCCTAGAGCGCCGGCCAGGAACACGCAGCGAAAACATAGTCACAAGTAGCCCACAGTCCAGTCGGCCGGCAAACACAGAGCGTATGAACTTCAGGTCGGTCTGAACAAGTCTAGCTTTGATGGACATACAGTGAAAATGTTGGAGGAGAGACTCATAGTCCATCGAGCACCGGCTATGTGTCTTGGCGCCTAACCACATCAGGTAACGGTGTTGCAGTCTCTCCAATCTCGCAAGGTGAGTAGGTGCTGCGCCACTCCAGACGACACTCGCGTATTCCACAACCGATCTGACATGGGCATTGTACGCCGCCATGACTGCCCGGTGATCGAAGTACGGCAGCCGGGTACGGTGTGAGACCTGCATGCTGCGCATAAGTAGACCTAGCATGCGGTTGGCCTTGCTCACACAGGCGTCAACATGCGCGCCAAATGTTAGCCTGGAGTCCAGGATCACACCCAGATCTCTGATCTCCGTACACCGCTCGAGTTCGTGACCATCTAAAAAGTATGATGATGCGATGGGAGATGTACGTAAAGTAAAGGTGATGGTCTTGCATTTAGCCGGATTGAGCCTAAGATGCCATGTTTTTGACCAGTCACTAAGACGGCTTAGATCAGCCTGAAGAGATTTGACGTCCGCTGGACATTGAATTCTGTGGAAAATTTTGACATCATCAGCATATGACAGTGAGCTGGTCTGAAGTTGAGACGGAAGGTCAGCTACATAGCATGTGAAGAGAATCGGACCGAGAATGCTGCCTTCCGGAACTCCAGATTGCACTGGGATCCAGTCCGAGTGCTTGCCATCCAGAATGACCCGCTGATAGCGGTGGCTGAGGTAAGAATCAATCCAGCTATATGCAAGACCGGTGATATTAAAAGAGTGCCTAAGCTTGTGTAAAAGTAGCCTATGACTAACACTTGTAAAAGCGGAAGAGTAATCGGTGTAGATCGTATCGGTTTGCATGCCCTTTGTCAGTGAGACCCAACAGTGATCCATAAAACATGCCAGATTTGTCACGCAAGAACGTTTTGGAAGAAAAGTGGTGAGGGTTCTGGAAGAAACATTAGGAAAAATTGAGAGAAGTTACTTGGAAGGATGTGATGACAGTGAAAGGATATGCAACGTGAATATAAGCGGTCTAAAGTGGATTTACGCTCGGAGTTTCTTTTAGTTTGTTTCGTATGTGTAAGGAAATCCCAGAGTTCGTCTTTATCGACAAATACAGATTTCTCCGCCATGAAATATTTCTTGGTAAAAACTGACACCATAGTCAATTGGAGACGCAAGGTATAGACCACATGTGAACGAATTATTTGTTTCCAATGCAGCTCTTGGAAACCAAACTCATGATTGCTATAAAATGTTGATGTGCTTCATGGTGGCAACTGCACAATAATACACACGATACTTAACTGTTTACCAGTCGCCCCTATGACATCTGTCTAACACCCACCCACCTTTTCCCTCAGGTACAAATCGCCTCCCCCGCCTCGCGTCGTCTCTCCGGACCCTCCGTCGCCGGCGGCGGACCCCGCTCCGCCTGCCGGCACTGGCGACGAGGATGAGATCGGCGGCCGACCGGTGCGACGCACCAGACGGGCCGCGGCGGTGGAGGCGCGGCAGAAAGTGGCCAAGTCGGTCTATGTGGAGGAGGAGGATGAGGAGCTGGTGGCGCTTCCCGTGCGGGGAAGGAGAGGACAGAAACGTCGGCCATCGTCCGGGGACCTGTCCTCCGCGCCCGCCCCTGCTGTTCCGGCTACTGCGCCGGCTACAGTGCCAGAGCTGGAGCCTGTCTCGGAGGATACCACGCCAGTTTCGGACCCAGCTCCTCCTCCAGTGGAGTCCCCTGTCTCAGGTGCGGAGGTTCCTCCGAATGGTGTGGAGTCTCCTGAAGCGGAGATGCCCCCGTCGGAGCCCTCTCCTCCGCCGCCACCGACGCCGCCTTCACCGCCATCGCCGCCTCCGACGCAGCCGACAACTCGAGAGACACGGAGGCAAGGTGTGTCGACAAAGCCCTCGGCTGCTCCGTCACCGACCAAAATGCCAGTTCTGACGCCAGCGCCAACCCTGGTCCAGCACCCGACACCGACGGGTGCAACATTGGCTTCCACAGCTGCAGCGGCGGTGGCTTCGACTGCTCCAGCAGCTGTAGAGTCAAAACGTCCTGAAGTCCCAGCGCCGCCGGTAACGGGATATCAGCCGCCACAAGCCGCGCCACAACCAGAGGTGCGGCAGACGCGGTCTTCTTCTCAGCCTACAAGTCAACCTACAACTCAGCTACCAAACCCGACTCCCAGCCCTGCCGCTGCTCCGGCAGCGCCGCCGGCTCCGTTACCTGCAATCAGTGATCAGGGCTCCGAGCCGGTAAATCTGAGCACCAGACAACCCGCTGCGGATCTGGAGAGGGAGCTGAGTAATCTGTTCGGTGAGACACCGACGCCGGCTCCTGTGGCGGCCCCGGCGGCCCCGGCAGCAGAGGAGCCCACATCGAGGGTGTACAGAAAAGGTGAGCAGGTGGGGGAACCTGGTGAGAATGAGAAAGGGTGTGAGGCTGGGTGAGAGTTAGAGAAAAGTGGGAGGGGGAGGGTCTGTGTGCGCGTTTGTGCGTGTGTGAGATACGAGTAGCAGGGGAAGAGTCTGTGTAAGTAAAGTTTTGAGAGTTACACGGGGAGCAGGACTTCTCCCTCTGTGGAAGGTTGTATGAAGTTAGAGCTTTCAGTGGGATTAAGTACACCGGTGTAGGATTGTGTGAGACGGCATAACCGATTGGCTTAGGCCCACCAGGTTTCAATGGAGGCCTAGCACTGTCCGGTGAAAGTCCATCAGGGGCCCTTTAGGCCCATTGAGGTCCATCAGGGGCCATCAAGAGCCGGCGTTGGCCCATCAGGGGCCATGATGGACCCACGCCGGCCTCTGACAGCCCCTCGGCACCTAAGGACCCTTGACTGGCCAGCGCCGTCTCCTGATTACCATACGCCGGCGTTTGACACCCCACGTCGGCATCGATCCGTGCCATGAAGCTACGTCCTTTTCAGTCGACATTACACCGTAAATGATATAGAGAAATCATGGTTATACGGTGTGGTTAATAACCAACGGTCATCACGAATAAATGTCACCCCAAACTTGGCCCAAAACACCATGAAACCGGAAGGAAACCTTGCTCTAAGCCAAAAGTCAATAAGAAGCCATATGAAATAACCGTGATCCCTTTCCTTTTCGTCACGAGCGCCGGGCCAATCAGCGTTGAGCATTGCTGAACGGCGATTGGTCGGTAGCTGCTAGCTCATGGATGTCGCTCGCGGAAACAGAAAGTGTCGACAGTCATCCACGGTGTTCACATTTGCTGAAGAGAAACCGGGGCGTACCCCTGATAGAGAGTTATAGTGTTAATGTGAGCATTAGGACTGTGAGTTTGTGAGGGAAAAAGTGGGATACGTGGATGAGAGTGGTAGTTGTGTTAGAAAGAAGATTTTAGTGGTGAAGGTTGTGGTAGGGAAGTGATAAGTTGATGCGTGTTTGTGTGAGGTGATAATGTTAGGATGATGGATCTGAGTGGATGACGTTGTGTGATTGAGCTGGCAGACCTTAAGCGATCTCAATATTCATGGACTTGGTCTGCCTAAAGGCTGAAACAGAGTCTTTCCGCGTTCAGGAAATCGCGTGCGAGAGCCTTTTCAAATACATTGTAATTCTTCTCGCATCAATCGCTTGCGGGAGGTGCGTGCGATTGATGCGAGCGTGCTTCCATGTATGTATTTGAATAGGCTCTCGCATGCGATTTCCTGACTGCGGAAAGAGTATGTTTTAGGCTTAAAGCCTATTACTAAAACTCAAAGCTGTCAACACTGCTAAGTAAGCTGCTGTGTACCCTAATTGTCATATAGCGTACATGAAGAGATTATACACAGTGGTGTTTGATCCTGTGGATCATCCTACGCGGTTACGGGTATTTTATGAAACAGTCGATGCTCCCGTATATTATCGGTTATCTAACGTTTGCTCACCTCTCTCTCTCTCTCTCTCTCTCTCTCTCTCTCTCTCTCTCTCTCTCTCTCTCTCTCTCTCTCTCTTTCTCTCTCTCTCTCTCTCTCTCTCTCTCTCTCTCTCTCTCTCTCTCTCTCTCTCTCTCTCACAGGCATCAAGGACCTGGGCCGGTACCAGCGAACACAGGAGACGCGCCCCTCCCCTGCTGCCCCTGCGGTCAGCGGGCCCAACAGCCCTCAGCCGTACAAAGACCTCGAGCGACAACTGGAGCTAATGGAGTCTGGCCGGGCCGCTCCCGCCTCGGTATCTACCCCGGCCAGTGTCATTGGTTCAGACAGCGGGGTTGGTGGTTCGTCTCAGGAGTCCGACTCGGTACCCTCTATGACTAGAGCGAGCACTGAGCCCGTGTTAGCCCCCAGCGGGCGGTCCTCCGCCCCCACCACAGCGGCCGCTGCTACAGAGAAGGCGGCTCCGTCCGAGCCCAAGAAAGGGTCCATTTTTAAGACACGGGCCGGACAGGGTAGGGCGGCACGGGCGAGGTATAACCACAGATGGACCGATGATAAAGACGAGGCGGCGCCGCCGGCGGCCGCCGCGCCAGCGCAGAACAACGGTGAGTGCCGCCCCGCTGAGGGGACGGAAGTTATTTTCGTAGGTATGAAGTTTATATAAAATGTTTTGTTAACTCCGCTTTGGCGCACGCCCCTCGTTTTAGCTGTGAGTAAACCCCCGCCACTGGATTTCACATCTTTGACGCACTCTTGATATGCAGTTACGATGTCCCATCCATCACGTCGAATCTGGATTTCACTTTCGTGGATAAACCCCCAGCCCTCATTAAGTCCACTATTACACCCCGCTTACTCCCCTCTTACTCTCAGGTACCTCCTCTGCTGAGTTTTAGCCTGCATTTCACGTACGTCTCGTTAATTCTCCTCTGACATCTTTTCACGCCCATCAGACTCCCCACGGCTACATCAACTCACGATTTCATACCCCTCTGAAAGACTCGTCTAAAACTCTATCATTAACTCTCCTATTACACCCCTTCTCTCTCCATTAGACACCCCGTCGGCGGCGTCGGCGCTGGACTTTACCGACGACCCCCCGCCGCCCTCCGGTCCGGGAGGCAGTCTGAACAGCCGTCTAACGCGAGTCAGCACCTGGCACGGGGCGGATCCCAACAGTAGCCAACAGCCGGTGACTAGCGTTCGGGTCGACAGAAATGCCAAGGAGGTGAGGACTGGAGGGGAGGGAGAGACTAGCTGCTGTCGACCCGCCAGTGGTTCATTTTTCAGCCTTTTTGGTGGCAAATCACACCTAATGGGGAAAGTATTTTCATCCCTAAAATATGAATGACCAACTTTACTTTATCTCTGAAAAGAGTTTCATGTATTCCCAACAGCCAGTTCACTTGTCACTTGACAGTTGATGCACCCACATCCTTTTGTTCCACACCCTGTCAAGATCCTGACATGAAATCCTGGTTTATCAGTTAGCATAAAAATTGGCATTACACCATTTTGCAAAAATACTGCAGTTATTTACTTTCTTTTTTTTCATCCTAGGATCTTTTTCTTCATCGGCACACCCAACCAATATCCAATTTTAGAACACTGCCACCCGCACTGGCTTGGCTGGTTGCGTCTCCACTCGCGCACCAGTCCTCCATGACGGTCGGAAGGCCACCCCAATCCATGGTTGGTTCCACTGAAACACAAAAACAATGCATCTGTACTTTTTGATCTTTACGAAGCCTAAGCCACCAGCATCCAGTTCGATGTCTCCCGGACGGCGAAGATTCTACGCCGTCCGGCCAATCAGGTTCCATAACCGCAGCTGAGTCCCCGCTGACCTTGGACGGGATTGGCCGGACGGCAAAGAATCTTTGCCGTCCGAGAGACATCGAACGCGGGGTAAGATAAGAGCGTTAGAGGAGAGCTAAGAAACCGGTTGTGTAGAGGGAGCGGGAGGTAGATGCAAGGCTATAGAACCCGGTAGATGTCTGAATGGCAAGGGAAAGATCACAGTGTATATAAATACAGTGGCGGCAAATGCGCTTGGTCACGTGACCAAATCTGCACGTGCGGTTGTGGCGAGGGCACTTCCCGAAACTCTGGTGCCAACGGCCTCGCGGCGCCCATAGAGAATACATGGGACCTTTTCTTTTCAGAACTATCGTGTCTAAACCAAGCCATTTAGTGCAAGGATACGACTGGTTTGAGATTCAGTGGTCTTTTGGCTATACGTCGGCATAAGAAACGTATTTTTATCGGCAAAATTCGCTAAGTACCAGGTGGTTTTCCGATACCCTGCACGCCTCCTAACCCCCAGCGGTCGACCGGAGGAGTCAGTAGCGCTCCACTCACGACTTATGGCGATAGCTCAAAACACCTTATAGCTAGAGGGCTGCTATTTGGCACACCTTATCTTTGCTTCCATACGCATCTTTGGAAACCAATTGCATTTCCGTCTCAGGTCAGATCACTGACTTATGACGTCACACGTGAACTTCTGCAATAGTCCCAAAATACCGAAACTTCACAATGCCCTTGGTGCCAGAGGAGCTGTCACAGCGAGCTGATACTTACAGGACATAGTATCCTCTAGAAGTCTCAAAACTTGTATATCTCGGATTTCTCCTAGAGGTCACATGAGGTCAGACCGATCGCGTGACGTCACCATTACAAGTCAATGGGGAAAATATGGAAACTGTAATTTTGACGCCGAGATTGATCTAAACCTAGCTCATGCACATGGAATCGCAATTTCATGCACTTCTTGCAATGTCCAAAGCTTCTTTTTTGCATCTTTAACCTAGCGTGACGTCATTTATGACGTCACAAAGGTCACAAGTTTTTTCTTCAATAACTCCTGATAAAATTGAACTAGCAAGTCGAAAAAATCGCCAATGGACTCGGGAAGACCTACCGAATCGAATTATACCTCTGTTCCAAACGCGATTCATCATAACTTCATAAGCTAACGGATCGCACGCAACGTCATTCGAGTGACGTCAGGGGTACGCCTCAGCTTCCAGCGCGCTGCAGCGCGCGCAGCGTCGGGCGGTGAAACAGGGCCCAGATGTTGACCCCACCCAAACAAAAGTGTACCATTTGACGCACCGGAGCATGACAAACATGATGGTACTAAAATCGCGACTCTGCGCCGTTTTTTGGCAAAGTTATTTCTTAAAACTCGAAATCGTATTTTGGCCCTCGGGGCACTTGACCTGATCCTCAGAGGCCACCAGTTGACCTGAGACTTTTAAACCGTGCATCAATCGCTGCGTCCCCGGTCCCGTAACGGCACACATGCTCGTTTTTCCCGCGAGGCTAGCTCAATTAGGGCGAGGGAGTCGTAGTCGCCCACTCTGCGGTAGGTATGTAAAAAAAAAAACTGATAAGTCTGGTGATGATTGATGCAAGATTCTTACAGATAATGGTTGATGAAGGTAGGGTATAAGCTATTAAAGATAAGTGAAACAAATTTGCAGCCCTCAGTAGCCTTGATTTATGCAATAAGAGTTATAGAACGACTGTAAGCTGCAGGCTCAGCTCTTCAGATTATATTCTACCTATGCCTGCAAACACAATAAAATCAATGGAAGAGTAATAATAGTTAAATTGTATTTTATTGATGCTATTCAAGTTTCAATGATAAATATGTCACCGATGATTCAATATTATTTGCACGGTATCATTAACCACCACACGTCTAAATATTTAGTATCTAAAATAATGCAGTAAAATAAGCTGCGCCACATCTGCCGACAAAATCTGGTGCCAACTCAAGGTCAAACGGAAAATGTGGTCACGTGACCAATGTCCGGCAGCTGGGAAAGATGACAATTTTAGTGACTGAGGAGAGAAATTGACGGAGGAAGGGAAGAAGAAGGCAACTCATTTGTGAGTAACTCACACTTCAGATAAGTGCATAGTTGAACACTTGTTTTTCGTCGTCTCCAGTCACCAGGATTAGTACATCGCCTGCCTAGCGAGATGCAGCAAATGCATGGGAACTCTATTATGTTACTTTGTCACCAATTCTAACCTTATCCCCGATAAATCCTTACTAATTACACCCTTCCCTTCCTCTTTATCTCCAGTATTATACGGTGATCAAGAACGTGAAGAAGGCGTACCAGATCCAGGAGTTTGGAGAGTTCCAGGAGTATAACGACGACATCGACTATATCATGGACGCCCTCCAGCCCACCAACAGCTTATCGACAAGGTGGGTGTTACGTGATATTTCGTCTTATCCTGCGTGGGTGTTTCGTGATCTTTCGTCTTATCTTGCGACTGCAACGTGCGCGACTCGCGGCTCCAGGCTCCGAAATTGTTTTTTTTTTTCATGCTTGGCGCAATTCAAGCGAGACAGGAACAATCTCATTCGGCGAAACAGCTGACACGCTGTGGCGTCACGTAATTTACGATACCGTACAGTGGGCTAAACATTCCCTTCCCTCAGCTTGGTAGCGTACTCAACCTTCATCTGGTAAGGCTGATACATTCTCCTCCCTACCTCGTAACTATCTACTCGACCTCACGGAGTATGCCTAACTTCCCTCCCCTAGTAACTTCTGGACTTGCTCTAGATGCTCTTCGCACCCCTCCCAGGACACAGTCAACACCGGAAACTGTTTGTTCCTTGGTGAATTGTTAACTCGAGCGATCTAAGTTGCGTTATTCCGTATAGTTTAGACCGTAAATTGCCATGTATCACCTAATAACAATTACCGATCGTCTTTAGTATAAAGACGTGCCGTTTCAATGTGACATGATGAATCATCGATTAATCAATCACAGGCATTGCTAGGGCTATGATCATTGGACGAGGCTTGCTTCACACTTTTCTCATATAAAATTACAGACCACTGCCCTGTCCTGGCTTGAAGCCAACTAGTTGACAGGGTTTTCGTGCGAGAGACGGCGCGGCGGCTGGGAGTTGGCGCCCGGTGCCTCATTTTGGGTCGGTATCGTGTCTCTAAAAGTTTTTGGAATTTGACCTAATTTTTTTTCAGGGCTTCTTAATCGCCAGAATTCGACACAAAATTTAAAAAATCAGTATGCTTGAATACTTGCTTCTATGCTCGGGCGTTAATGGGTTAAGATGGCGGTCCCCCGGTGTCTCTCATCTGTCCATAGACGTCTCTCCATAGAGGGGAAGACGGGGCAAGACGGGGATGCGGGGTATGACGGGGAGGTACTGAAATACAGAATTTCAGAGGCGACTGAACGGGATCACTGGGGTTATTTACTTCCTTTAGACCAGAAACGACAATAACAAAATTATTGCGGCCCTGTGACCACTGCAATATTTTTGATGGGTTTGAATGCGAGAACGTATGTTTATGATCGGAATTTACGGGGTCTGGAAAAGCGAGTTCCTGGTTTTCAGTGTGAGTGAAGGTAATCTCTTGATGATTGTATACTAAGGTGCATTTATATGGTGGTCAATAGTGTGTTTTTATTTATTCTAAATAGTGCAATTTGGTGTGTGTGGCGTCCTTAACATTTTGTGAACGTGCCGGGGTAAGATGGGGAGTTCCATTTTGGGGCAAGATGGGGACATCCCCATCTTACCCCTCACAATCAGCAAGCAAAAGCTCTGACCAGATAATCACTCATACGGGCGTGTGTGGGATTATGGCGAAGCAAATATGGCTCTTCATTTACCTGAACCGTCCTCTTCATTACCAAATCACCACTCTCTTGTCCCTGGAGTGGTTTCCCTATTGGTTGTGTGGCGCGCTAGCGCCGATAATTTACCTACGGTGTTTAATTTACCTACCACCTACCGCTTTAGCGGCAAGGTGGATGTTAACCTTCGCCCGTATTGGTGTTTTTCCAGCCGCGAACGTAAAGGGGGGGGGGGGGGTCCGTTGGACCCCCTTTGCCGTTTCGCCCCTGATCAAGCTAGAGCTTCGCGTAAAAAAAAAAACGAGCGTGTTGCCCGTGACGAGAGGAAGTCGATGATACCCAATTTTAAGGTCCTTGGTCATTGGTTGACCTTCCGGGCCAGGTCAATGGCCCAAAAGTCGGGAAATCGGGACCTGTTAGAACGTCGTAAAGTGTGGCTGCTATGGGGTTTTTCGGGGTGTTGATCACGAATATCATGTTAGTTTTGATCACAGATGATGTCTTCATGCATTTAGGCCAGGTCGGGTCAGGCCAGGTCAGGTCAACCAGTAGGGGTCCTGCCAGGTATTTGTAGTAAACCGCTTCTGACAGCTTTGTAACATGTTACGAAGGCACCAAAACTACTTCGTAAATGTTCATATGGTTGCTTGATTCGAATTCAGCTCCAAAAACTGGCCTACAAACATGTACAACTCGAATAAGTGAACCGAGGTCATCAAAGTTCAATGACCTGACCTGACCTTCAGGTCATCGCGTGACGGGGTTAGGTTCTCTAGGTCCACTTTTTGTATGCAATGCACTTGAATAAATGAAACTGTACCTTTTTTAAAAATACCAATGTATCCCCATCTTACCCCATGTCCATCCCCATCTTACCCCTGGTAGTGGGGTAAGATGGGGATCTAGCTATGTTTTTAAAAATCAGTTTTTGGGTTTCAAACAATAATATGCATCTAATACTACATATGGGAAAAGATGCCCAAGTACCTTTACTACATCATGAAAGCAACAAACTTCGGCTGCTGTCCATTTTTTGGCAAGCACGTGAGCATGAAGCTTAACATCCCCATCTTGCCCCGCTTTCCCCGACGTCTCTCCATATATGTCTCTCTCATGTCTGTCCACAGGTGTCTCTCGGCTACCCGACTGGCGGGCAAGTGCATGGTACCGGCGTTTCGAATGCATCTGCGGGCCCACGGCACGGTCACCCGGTTCTTTGCGGCGCTCTCTGACGCGCCCTCCGACCCGTGTTTGTCGCTGTGCACTTCTGCGGTGATGTTTATACTGAGTGAAGATCAGCTGAACATGGATCTGGACAAGTGAGAATGGGGGAGGGGGGGGGAAGGAGGGAAACGGAAGACAGGGAGAGGAACAAAGTAATTGGGTGGGAAGAATGGAGAGAAGATGGCTAATAAGGTAGAAGGGTGAGAAGATAGAAGCACTAAATATAGATCCGAGAGAAAAGATAGGAAGGAAAAGAAAGTGATGTGAGGAGGCAGCTCGCCAGCTGTGTGTGTGTGTGGGGGGGGGGGGGGGGGAGGGATTAAGTGGATACAGTTACATTGTGTATCTTTAAAAACTGTTGTGTTAATGTTCCGGGTATTTGGTAGCAACGAGTAAACTCAATATTCATCAATGAGCAGACTTGTTAGTCTTTCAGTTTGTTTATGTTTAACATAGATAAGCTTAACTAAACTGAGTGGTTTTCCACAAAGTTTACAGTCGTTTGCCTTTACGAACCTGTCTCCATAACTGCCCCGTGTCTGTTTGCTGGTCATCACTGTAACGCTGCACGTCATGGCATATACCACCTCCCCCTATGACATCATCTGACTCCTGCGCATATTACGACGCTCTCAGGAGCAGCCTGGAGCTGATGCTGAGTCTGCTGGACTCTGACGTCACGGCTAGTGACTCAGACGACTCGAACGCCGAGCTGCGCAAAAACCGCGCCAAGGTACGTGCGTGCTGCTGTGTCCTCAGTCGACCGGAACTATAGTCTGGCAAACCTAAGAAAGAACGGAGTTAAAGTGCAGCGGCCATTGATGCATGTGTATTTATACCGTGAGAGCATATTTTCTCTCACAACTTTTCTCACGAATTTCTCCGAACCATACATTTCAAGTGATCAGAACCCGTGCTAAGTGATTCAGGCGCTTTAACTCCATTCTTTCTTAGGTTTGCCAGACTATAGTAAGGGGCAGAGGCGCGCCCCTCCATCTTTTCCATTGTACCTATTACCTATTTAACAAATCATGCGCCCATTATGACAACCAAAAGGCAAAAGGCTGTTTTGGGGGCAAATTTAAACTTTCGTGCTTTGCCGCTAAATACGATCATGAGCTTAACCGTAACCAAAGTGAGGGAGCCTTGCACGTCTCGATATTGTGATATATCAGTGACCGCTAACATAGTCTTACTGTTAATTTCGGTTTTGTCGAAAAAAAAAGAATACCTACCACGCAGTAAGAGGAGGGGCAGTTACTGCAGTTACAGTTACTGCTGACTGTATTATATTTCAGTTAAAGCAGAGATGTAAACCCCTGCTCTGCTGACCCCTTAGTAACCAGTCCTGCAGCGACCTCTTTGTTACTTGACCTAGCCTCTGGACCCATCACCCTCTCCCTTTTCCTGCCTGATATCATCGCTCTGCCCCCCCCCCCCTGGGCTGACCCGGAACTATCCCTCATGCCTTTACCTTTCCTTCTCCCTGACATGACCCCTTCACTACTTGGCCTGACCCCTACTCGTGCCGTGACCCGACTCCTTTGGCATAATAGTTTTAAACCCTCTTTTTATCCCGCCCTACCCCTGACCGTTCCTTTCCTCAATCCTGTCCCCTCTCCTCACTAAGCTGTCCCTCCCTGACCCGGCTTCTGTTACACATATTCGGTTCCGGTGGTTAGTTCAGTACTGTCACGGCGAATTATCGGGAGCGGCGAATGACCCTCAAAACACAATGGCGGTGACCATGGAACTGTTTATTGTTTACCTGTTTCCATATGACCGGGGGGTGAGTCCAAATGAAGGGAGGACCAAATGAAGGGAAAATGGAGGGAAAACGTGCCCCATCACAACACCCTCCCCGTTCTGTCACTGTCAGGTCCGTGAGCTGTGCGCTCAGCTGACCCCCCCCCCCCCCTCCCCGTTCTGTCACTGTCAGGTCCGTGAGCTGTGCGCCCAGCTGACCCTGAACCCCCCCCCCCGTTCTGTTACTGTCAGGTCCGTGAGCTGTGCGCCCAGCTGACCCCGACCGCTCCCCGTTCTGTCACTGTCAGGTCCGTGAGCTGTGCGCTCAGCTACAGCGGCAGGGCCAAGCCAAACAGCTACGCCTGGACAACATCACCGCTGGCCATCTGTCCATGGAAACGCTGCTCAGCCTCACCTCACAGCGGGCCGGTGCCTGGTTCAAGGTACGAACGGCTGACTTCTGCGAGTCCGTGACCTCTGGTGTAACATACGACCCCAATATGACGTCCGTGTTGACATTTGTGATTATTGTGTTAACCATCACTACAATGACTTCTTGTATGCGTCGTCTAAGATATTTGTAATGTTAGTATCTATATTGATCTATATTACTTATGTAATACTTTTTAATGCTGACCTCTGATCCTTATCTTAACCCTCGCCCGCACATGCCATTTTCCCATCCTAGAACGCACATGGGGGAGGGGGGGGGGGTTGCCACCCCCCGCGCCATTTCGTTCCTGTTGGAGATAGAGCTTAGCAGTAAAGACCAAAAAGATTCTTTGGGAAGAGACGAATCCAATGATACCCAGTTTTACCTTCTCAGGTCAGTCATTGACCTTCCAGGTCAGGTCAAACTAAAAAATGTTGCTGTTTTGGGTCACCGTTGGATATCAAGTGCGCTGCTTATCATATACCGATGACGATGCCGTTTTCTGGTGCCTAGCCAGCTAGAACCTCTTTGTCACTCTACCCGACCAGGTTTTTGCTGCTGAGGTCATTTCAGGTCAATGTTAGGTAAAGGTCAATGATTTGTGTTTGTATGTCTGTGCGTGTCTGTGTGTATACTGATGTGTGCACCGATTGTTTATGTGTTCACATTACATGAAATCATGATCAGAGAAGCTCTTGAAAAAATATAGTCAAAAAACTTCACAAAAAGTAAATTTAGCTTGCCTGAAACGCAATTATTTTAGATGACCTAGGTTGACCTTGACCCTGACCTTGACATCTGTACATCGTCGAACAACATGTTTCATGATAGGTGGGAGGTAAGACTGGCAAAAAATGCCGAAATCAAGGTGTCAAAATCTCACAAGGCCCATGGCAAACGCAAGATGTTGAGAATTGGCCATTTGGGTCATGACATGACCTGACAAACAAGGTCATATCTCCGAAACCAAAAATCACAGAAACTTGAAATTTTCAGTGGACATCAAGAAAGGATAGAGGAGCAGCTATACCAAAAATCAGCTCTCTAACTCTAAAAATGTTGAGTGCAGAGCAGAAAGACTACCTGGGGGGGGGGGGTGGCAACCACCCCCCCCCCACACACACACCAGGTAGTCAGGGGTGGCAACCACCCCCCCCCCACACACCAGGTAGTCTTTCTGCTCTGCACTCAACATTTTTAGAGCTAGAAGCCTGATTTTTCGTATAGCTGCTCCTCTAGCCTTTCTTGATGTTCCTTTACTGAAAATTTCAAGTTGCTGTGGCTTTTGGTTTCGGAGATATGACCTTGTTTTTTCAGGTCATGTCATGACCCAAATGGCCAATTCTCAACATCTTGCGTTGGCTATGGACCTTGTGAGCTTTTGACACCCTGATTTCGGCCTTTTTTTGCCAGTGTTACCTCCAACCTATCATGGAACATGTTGTTCGACGATGTACAGATGTCAAGGTCGGGGTCAAGGTCAACCTAGGTCATCTAAAATAATTGCGTTTCAGGCAAGCTAAATTTACTTTTTGTGAAGTTTTTTGACTATATTTTTTTTTTTAAAGAGCTTCTCAGATCATGATTTCATGTAATATGAACACATAAACAATCGGTGCACACATCAGTATACACACAGACACACACAGACATACAAACACATATAACTGACCTTGACCTAACTTGACCTGAAATGACCTCAGCAGCAAAAATCTGGTCGGGTAGTGTGACAAAGAGGTTCTAGCTGGCTTGGCACCAGAAAACGGCATCGTCATCGGTATATGATAAGCAGCCCACTTGATATCCAACGGTGACCCAAAACAGCAACATTTTTTAGTTTGACCTGACCTGGAAGGTCAATGACTGACCTGAGAAGGTAAAATCGGGTATCATTGGATTCGTCTCTTCCCAAAGAATCTTTTTGGTCTTTACCGCTAAGCTCTATCTCCAACAGGAACGAAACGGCGCGGGGGGGGGGTGGCAACCCCCCCCCCATGTGCGTTCTAGGATGGGAAAATGGCATGTGCGGGCGAGGGTTAAGCCACTGACCATGATATTGCCCTCTGATTTCTATGGTGACCCCAGCTGCGACTTGCATTTTGACCTGCATTTGCCCTGGCGGCCAACATCACCGCTATGGTGACCTATATGAACATGCTATATATTTACATCTCTGGAATCGCTCGCCCCATTGTCATCATCATCATCATCATTATCATCATCATCATATATTGCGAACAAAAAAAAAGTATCACAAGATATGCAGGGCGGTGCAAAGGCACTCCGTGCTTATATCGACGCACCATGTGTCTCGATATAAGCATATAATACCAGTATAACGCCTTTTGGGGCGACTAACGGAGCGAGCGAGAGGGTGGGCCTTGCACGTGCGAAATTGCGAGGGGGTACCTCCAACTGACTTGTGCACGGCACCCTACTAACCGGTCTCTAGCGATGTGCCAAAGTTGGGCACAATCGGCCCAGCCGTTCTCGAGATCTGGAAGCGGCACCCTGCACGTGCGCACGTGCAAAATGGGTCCCAACTGACTTGCGCACGGCACCCTACCAACCGGTCCCTAACTGTATACCAAATTTGAGCGCAATCGGTGGGGCCGTTCTCGAGATCTGGAAACGACCCCTGCACGTGCGCACGTGCAGCAGCGCCCCAACTCTGGCACATGGATATGCAGTGCCTAGTGGGTGCCTACCTACATGCCAACTTTCAGCGCAATCGGCCAAGTAGTTACCGAGATATTGCAACAATTACAAAACGGACACCTCTTCGTTTTGCACGTGGCACGTGCATAAGGGGTCACCCACATGCATCGGGAATAGTCCAATACTTGGTAGAAGGAATGAAGCTACCCTACAAAAATTGCCGCGTGTAAATCGGTCAAGTGGTTGCTGAGATATAAGCCTCGCAAAAGCGTGACCACGGCCGGCCGCTCATACTCAGAAATTTCCGTTAATCTAAGAAAAGACTACGCTCGCTTCGCTCGCTCCGTAATAACCAGTATAACGCCTTTTGGGGCGATTAACGGAGCGAGCGAGAGGGTGGGCCTTGCACGTGCGAAATTGCGAGGGGGTACCTCCAACTGACTTGTGCACGGCGCCTTTCTAACCGGTCTCTAGCGATGTGCCAAATTTGAGCACAATCGGCTCAGCCGTTCTCAAGATCTGGAAGCGGCACCCTGCACGTGCGCACGTGCAAAATGGGTCCCAAATGACTTGTGCACGGCACCCTACTAACTGCTCCGTAACCGTGTACCAAATTTGAGCGCAATCGGTCCAGCCGTTCTCGAGATCTGGAATAGACCCCTGAACGTGCGCACGTGCAGCAGCACCCCAACTCTGGCACATGGGTATGCATTGCCTAGTGGGTGCCTACCTACATGCCAACTTTCAGCGAAATCGGCCCAGTAGTTACCGAGATATTGCAACAATTACAAAAGTGACACCTCTTCGTTTTGCACGTGGCACGTGCATAAGGGGTCACCCACATGCATCGGGAATAGTCCAATACTTGGTAGAAGGAATGAAGCTACCCTACAAAAATTACCGCATGTAAATCGGTCAAGTGGTTGCTGAGATATAAGCGTCGCAGAATCGTGACCACGGCCGGCCGGCCGGCCGGCCGCTCATACTCAGAAATTTCCGTTATTCTACGTAAGACTCCGCTCGCTTCTCTCGCTCCGTAACTAGATGCCGGCAGCGCTCGTGCGTTGCCTTGGGCCAGAATTGGAGGATCCATAGCCCAATGAAATGTGCATTATTTTGGAGGCCTTGCCTGGGACTACCATTGAACCGATTTTGAGGTTGATTGCTTAAAATTTCTTTGAGCCAGAGGACCTCACGTCAAAACGGTTTTCCGATCCCAGCACGTGCAGCCTGCACCCCTCGCAGACGGTGACCCCCCTGGAAACTGGTTCAAGGTGTTACCGATGTGTCCCGCCAGTATGGCTTTGCCCGTGACCTCGGGTTGACCTGTAGCCTTGACAAAAATTTCGTGTCACCGAAACTTTGAAGCGGAATAGCATGTGCCACGAAGCACCGAGCGAACCGAGGCCAGCACCAAAAGTTTACCTCGCCGGAGACGAATCAAACGGTCCCACTTTCGTCCCGATCGGTCTACCCATTTTGACTCCAGGTCCAAAAAAGCTTGGACAAACTCACTCACATACTCACTCACTCACTGACAAACAGGTTCAGCCGAACTTTTTTTCAACGACCCAATGGGAATTTCCGGATGCAAAAGCATGCTATCGCATGCTTTTGATCCTCCAATTCTGGATAACTCGATATATGTATCTCGCCATTGTCACCATGTGACCCCAGTACTGACTTCTGTGACCTCTCACAGGAGGAGCTGCGGGAACTGGGCGGCCTGGACCCTATGTTCGCCCCGTTGTCACCATGTGACCCCAGTACTGACCTCTGTGACCTCTCACAGGAGGAGCTCCGGGAGCTGGGCAGTCTCCACCCTTTGCTCGCCCCGTTGTCACCATGTGACCTCAGTACTGACCGACCTCTCACCAGGAGGAGCTGCGGGAACTGGGCGGCCTGGACCGTCTGCTGGGTACGATATCGGAGAGCTGCGCCAACCTCCGTCTACCACAGCGACTGAGACACCAGAGGGACTGTATAGCCAGGATCAGCCGGTGCTTGAGGGTCGTGGAAAACGTGAGTGGTCGCGCCAGATGTCAGACGACGTAGTGCTAAAAATAGGGTGGTGGAGAGGCCGATAAGTGAAATGTTATTATCATGATACGGCGATTAAAAATAGAAGGAAATGAAAGGCGCCAAAAATGAATTAGTGCCGCGGGAAAGAGATACAAGGTTTGGTCAAAGTATTTATTATACCTTATTGCTGTGAAGCGGTGAAGTGGAGATCAAAGTGGAATTTCATTCTTGAGTTGTCTTTTTATTTTCATAGCTGTTTTTTACCTTTTCAAATACTTTGCATGCGTGGCTCTGATCTGAACATTTGCAAAATTTTGGTAGGTATGAGTTAACTCAGTAATTGCACAGCTGCTGAAGCATGAAAACCTTTTACCTCCAACCGCCTCCAGCCCTATAATGACGTCACCACCACCTAACCACTACCCGTCTATGACATCACCGCCCCTATATGACGTCACCACCCCTTTATGACGTCACACCAATGCTGAAATTGCGAGTTTTGGTCCTGGTCCCGGATGATAGAATCTGCCCGGAGAACCGGCCAGCTTGTAGAACACTCAACAGGAAAATCATATGTTTGGCCTGCTAAATGTGACAGTTGATAAAATGTGTTCTCTCGATGCTATAACTGCATGTTTTAGGCTAAGAACTATCTAAGATAGTTCAGGTGCCGGATTATAAATTTGTAAAGGAGAACAAAATCGTCTGGACCCTACTGGGACCAGCAAAGGGCCTCATTTCTTACATTGCGTCACACCGTCTCTCCGTGACAGGTAATGACCTATAATGACGTCACCACTACCCGTCTATGACATATCGCCCCTGATGACATCACCGCCCCTCTATGACGTCATTACCCTATATGACGTCACACACCTCTGTTCCAGGTAACCAGCCGAACGAAGAGGAACCAGCAGTACCTGCTGCGAGCCGGTGGCGAGGCGGTGGCCAGCCTGGGCAGCTGTTCCAGATGGCAGAGACCGAACTGGCAGACTGCTCGCCAGCGTTCCAGGTACAGAGGGGGTAGTGTTACTCCCCGGAGGGTAGTAGAGGGGGGGTACTGTTACTCTCCGGTGGTGACGGCGGTGGCCTGGGACAGCTGTTCCGATGGCAGAGACGGAACTGGTGGACTGCTCGCCCAGCGAGTTCCAGGTACAGAGGGGGTAGTGTTACTCCCCGGAGGGGGTAGTA